GGGGGGGGGGGGGGGGGAAGCAATAGCCCCACACATTGAAAACCTCTCACCCTACCCTGTGGGGATTCTACAGCCTGAGGCTCATTAAAAGACTGATAACAATCAGCCTCTGGGTGCTCTTAGTCTTTGCTTGATTTGCTTCTGGGCCCAGGGCTTGGAAAAGCAGACCTTGGTGCACATCTTGGTCCATTCCAAATGCACCCAGCCCTAGCAGAGGGAACTACAAGCTGTGACGTGCAGAAAGCTTCAAACAGGGTACTCAAGGCCAGTCACAAACAGCGTTTGACATTGGCCTACACCATAGACCATCCAAAAGTCTGGGAGTCCTAGCAGAGCTACCTAATACATAGAAGCAAATCCAAATAGGCAGCCCAAATGGGGAGACAAAAAAAAGCCCCAAGTGAAAGAACAAAAGAATTCTCCAATAGAAGAGCTAAATGAAATGGAGATAAGCAATCTACCAGGTATAGAGTTCAGAATACTGATCATAAGGATGCTCAATAGCTTGAGAAAAGATATGGAAACTATGAAGGAAATGAAGAATGCCACAGCAGAAATAAAGAATACACTGGAAGGAATAAACAGCAGATTAGCAGAAGGTGAGGATCAGATCAGCTATTTAGAAGACAGGGTAGAAAAAAAATCACTCAATCAGAGATCCAAAAAGAAAAAACAATTAAAAAACAGGAGGACAGTTTAAGGGAGCTGTGGGACAACATGAAATGTAGCAATATTCACATCATAGGAGTGCCAGAAGATCTAGAAAGTAAGCAAGGGAACTATAAGCTGTGAATAAGAGAACCTATTTGAAGAAATAATGGCAGAAAACTTCCCTAACCTGGTAAAGGAAAAAGTCACACAAGTTCAGGAGGCACAGAGAGTTCCAGGCAAGAACCCAAAGAGGTCCATGCCCAAACACATCATAAATAAAATGCCAAAAATGCAAGACAAAGAGAGAATCTTAAAGGCAACAAGAGAAAAAAAAGCAGTTATCTACAAAGAAGCTTCCATAAGGCTGTCAGCTGATTTCTCATCAGAAACTCCACAGGCCAGAAGGGAATGGCATGAAGTATTCAAGGTCATGAAAATCAAGGATCTGAAACCAAGAATACTCTATCCAGCAAGGCTATCATTCAAAATAGATGGTGAAATAGCGAGCTTCCCAACCCCCCCCCCAAAAAAAAGCTAAAGGAGCTTATCACCACCAAACCAGCACTGCAAGAAATGTTAAAGGGGCTGCTGTAATAAAAAGCTGAAATAGAGAGAATGAGAAACAAAGGCATAAAGAATTAAAATGGTAATAGATAAGTACCCACCAGTAATACCCTTAAATATAAATGGATTAAATGCTCCAATCAAAACATAGGGTAGCTGAACGGATAAGAAAACAAGAACCAAATATGTGCTGTCTACAAGAGACCCCACCTCAGAACAAAAGACTCATACAGGATGAAAAAAACCCAAAAAACTTCTGGAGGACATTAAAGGAGAGATCAACAGCAATACAGTCCTAGTAGGCGACTTTAAACACACCACTGACTTTGCTGGATAGATCTTCTAGACAAAAAATCAACAAGGAAACAGAGACTCTAAATGACACACTAAATCAGATGAACTTAATTGACATTTACAGAACATTTCAACCCAAAGCTGCAGAATATACATACTCCTCAAGTGTATGTGGGGCATTCTCAAAGACAGACCACATGTTAGGACACAAAACAAGTCTCTATAAGTTCAAGAAGACTGAAATNTCTCTACAAGTTCAAGAAGACTGAAATCATATCAAGCATCTTCTGGGACATTTAGACCATGGACTACTATGCAGCTATAAAAAAGAAGCGTCCCTTACCCTTTGAGACAGCATGGTGGGACCTGGAGAGTATTACGCTAAGTGAAACAAGTCAGCCAGAGAAAGACAAGTATCACATGATCTTACTCATATGTGAAATCTAACAAACAAAATGAACTGATGAACAAAACAGATCCAGAGACACAGAAGCATGGAACAGACTGATGAATCTGAGGGAAGGCAGGCATAAGTGGGTGGGAGGGGAGAGATTAACCTAATAACTTGCATGCATATATGCATAANAGTCAGAGAAACACAAGTATCACATGATCTTACTCATATGTGGAATCTAATGAACAAAATAAAACAATGAACAAAATAGATCCAGAGACATAGAAGCATGGAACAGACTGAGGAATCTCAGAGGGAAGGCGAGGGAAGGCGAACTTATATGCATATATGCACGACCTATGGACACAGACAATAGTGTGGTGAAGACCTGGAGGCAGGGTGCAGGGTGGAGGGGTTCAATGGGAGGGGGTAAAGGGACATTTGTAATACTTTCAACAATAAATTAAAACAAACAAAAACCCCCCAAAATTAAATAAATAAAAAGGGAAAGAGGATACTGTGGTGAAAAAAACCCCCACAAAAGTATAATTTAAAAATCAGTCACTTTTGTGATGGGGATGCCTATGTGTTTTTCTTTCTAAGATCAAAATATAACTTCATACCTCATAATCTGGTCCTCCAAAGTGGGATTTTTTCTTTAGTTCCGTCATGGCATTTTTGTATGCTTCCTCTGTTCTTCTTCTTTTCTCCATTTCCTATTTTTAAAAGAAAGCAAGTGAAAAATTTATCATTTGAAGTGGGAATTCTCTCTGCGTTTCACTGAAATTTTATGATTTGGCCAAAAAATAACTCTACTCCTATGGAAAATGAGTATTATTTGGGGCTATATATTATATACCAGCTACCATTTAAATCACCACTAAAATCACCTAATAGGTAGGTTATGTATTTAAATGGATTAAGTATATTCATGTGTTTGTTTCCCTCAAATAAAAGCATATTTACTTTGTTATAAAGAAAACAAAACAAGAAACAAGTAATGAATGCCAGGAAGAAAATAACTCAAGTGGAATCAATGAATGCTAAAATATATTTTAAGAAAGAAATTTCTTGTACTTTGCCACTGCTGGTTAAAACTATTTTAGAGCTGAAAAAGAACCAAGTTCTACTTACACCCTCTCTTTTTATAAATACTGTCTACAGCTCTAAGAGGTTAAAAGACCCAAGGGTCAACACTTAAAAGGTTGGTCCTGGCACCAATCTCACACTTATTTCTACAACAATTAGTTGCACTATGTCAAATCTAATACTGAAGTCCAACAAGTTTATAAAGAACCTCATGCCTTTATTCAAATGCCTTACCTCAAATACTTAAGGGCTAAAAAGTCCACACTGAACTCACACAAAACTAACTACTTCCAAGTGCCCTCTTTTGAAATAAAGCTATTGCAAATCAATGAATTAGTTCATTAATCCAAAGACTAAGTGCTTATTGCATACTCAAGAGAAAATGGGACTACAGACCCACCAAAATGGCTAAAAATTAAAAAACAAAACACCCACAAAAAAACCAACAATATTAAGTGTTGACAAGTGTGAAGAGCAACTGGAATTCTCATCTATTGCTGGTAGGAGTTTAAACTGACATAAACACTTTAGAAAATTGTTTGTCAATATTCACTAAAGTTAAGCATATACCCGATGAATCAACAATTGTACTCCTAGACATATGCCTAAGAGAAATGAGAGTATATGTCCACCAAAAGATATGTACAAGAATGTTCACAGTAGTGTTATTCATAATAGACAAAATATAAAAACCTAAATGTCCATCAACAGGAAAAAAGGATAATCAAAATGAAGTCAAACAATGAAAATTCATCGTAACTACCACTAAAGGTAACAACATGAGTGAATCTCACAGTCAATGTTGGGGTGGGGAGGGAAGACAGACACAAGAGTGTGTATTGTATGATTCCATTTACATGATGTCCAAGAACAGACAAAATTAATCGACGATGAAATCAGAACTGTAGTTACCTCTTGAGGTGGTGGTATGACTAGGTAGGGAAATGAAGGAACCTTCTGCTATAAAAGTTCTGTATGTTGATCTGAGTCGTGGTTACAGGGGTATATACAAATGTACAAAAATCATCAAGCAGTACACTTAAGATTGGTGCACTTCACTATATGTATTAACATATCTTAATTAAAAAATGAACAAAACAAAAACACATAGCACACCAATATTAAAAAGACTTAGGGGAAAGCGAAAAAGCATGCGAAATTTCACATAGGTGAGTCTATTAATGTAAGCAAACATCTTAAATGAATAGAATATTTTTAGGCAGTGTGTTAGATATGACTGAAGATGATCCCTTAGTGAAGGACAAAGAGACTAAAACAAAAAGTTTTAAATAAACTAGTCTAGATGAGTTGAATGATTTTCTTGAACCATTAGTCTAATAGATTTAAGGGGTTGTCCTGTTTTCTCACTGCATTATTTTTCGTGTGTACAGGGAATCTTCCAAAAATTCAGCTTGATACACATTAGTATAGAGTTGAAATCTCTGAATATAAAATAGTTTGACTCCAGAAGACTAATGAAATGTTTGTACCTTAAATGGATGTTTTTATTTCCTATTTTTAGAGTACATATTTTGTTAGTATGGCTTACTGCACTTGAGAATTCTAACCAATTTTCTTCTCTTCTAAACATGGGTACCTTTTTAAATACACAGTGACATTCAAATCATATGGCCATTCTGCCATTATATCAGTGACGATACTGCTTTCTTTAGTATCCTGTTCAAACTGATACATTCAAATACTACAAGCAATACGATTTGCTGACAAGTAAGATTTTGACTGATGTCTGGCCTAGAATCCAGAGCTGAAATATAGCAAACAGTAAAATTCTTCTAATTCTGCTACTTAACATCTCTGGACAAGTCCTCTTCTATAAAATAGTGGCATGTTTCAGTTCTAACATTTCACTATTTTATTATGTTGAATTATAAACAGAAATATTCCTACTAAACAAATTCACTAAGCCACACATTACACTAGAAACTAAATACTCATTTTGTAATATTATTAGTGTGGTAGTTTACACGAAAGTCAGCAAAGGTGAACAGGAAACAAATGCTTAATGAACCATATAATGTATGTTGAATGATATCACAATGACCTTGGAAAGTATACATGGTTATGAATGCAGTAAGTTAATATGTTTTAACTTTATAAATTGGTGTTTAAGTTAGTTTATATATCTTAAATGCAGTTTCATATATCATACAATAAAGCTGGATAATGTAAAATGGCTCATTCCAAAGCATTACTGTTATCACTATGAAAATGTTATTAAAATCCTATCAAGAATGCATATTGTACAGCAACTGAATATTTAACTGATGAATCTCATTAGGAAATTGAGGATAAGATACCCACAGTTTCAGAGAAGTACCACCTGTTACTTCTATCAATCCCAATGGATTTTTCCCTAACAAGTTAGTTTAAATATTTAATCCATATATAAAACTCAAAAGAAAGAAAAACTAGTCTTACCTTATCCATTCTCTTTTGCCAGCTGTCCTCACGTTTTACCATTAGTTCAATACAATGAGAAAGTGTAGCAAGGATTCCAGCAGTAGTTGCTTTAAAAGTTATTGCCTCCCCTTTAAAGTCTATACCATTAATTCCTTTTGGTGTTACCTGTGGAAATGCTGAAAAAGAAAATTATTCACTGAAAATCTTTCTAATGAAAAAATAATTCTTCACAATTAAAAATTTAAAATTGTTTAAAAAACCAGCAAATCAGCCCTGGCTGCTGTGGCTCAGTTGGTTGGAGTGTCGTGCTGTACACCAGAAGGTGGCAGGTTCAATTTCCAGTCAGGGCACATACCCAGGTTTCCGGTTTGATCCCTGATTGGGGCACATCTGGGAGGCAGCCGACTGATGTGTCTTTCTCTCTCCCCCTTTCTCTCTCTAAAATAAAGAAAACAAAACAAAACCAAAAAACCCTACAAAAACCTAGCAAATCAGAACAGATTTTCAGAATTTCCTTCCTGTTGACCAACATTTAAAAATGTCCATCCATACTCTATCAGCCAAGAAGCTTGTGGCAGCATATGTACTTTCAAGTCCTTTTTTCTGGATTCTGCTTCTTGAAATCTATTTGCTGTGCTGCATCCAGTGAATAAAGTGGTAAGAGTAATGCTTTAATAATAACACTCTGACAACTTAGAGCAGGACCTAATTATGGCAAGACCAATGCATATGTTAGTTTTTTATGTTTACATTTTATAATATTCAGAGTTATCTTTGAATGAAATGAAAAAATCTTAAAATTCACAAGATGCAAACAAGAGAACATACTATCTTACACTCTTAGCTAATAAGAAACCATTGCAATAGAACTCATAAATAAAATATTTCTAACTTTAAAAACTCTATGTAGATATGACAGTAAAGGTACAATCCATAAAAGAACAAATTGAGAAACTACTTCATCAAAATTTAAAATTTCTGCTTAAGGCACAGTTAAAAGAATGAAAATAGCAATTGTGTGAGATAAGTCTAGTGATCTAATATACAGCATGATGACCACAATTAATAATACTGCACTGAATACTAGAAATTTAAGACAGTAGATTTCAGATGCTCTCATCACCAAAAAGAGTAACTATGTGAGATGATGTTAATTAGTTTGACCACAGTAACGACTTCGCTATGTACACCTTAACTGGGAGAAAATCTTTATAAAGCCTATATCTGATAAAGAACTTGTATTCATATACATATATATAGAGTTTATATTAATACAGAATATTAATATAGCCTATACTACAATATAGCATATTGTAACCTCCAAACTCAACAATAAGAAAATATATACCTAACTGTAAAAAATTGGACAGAAGATTTAAATGAACACTTCACCAAAGAAGAGACAGGGTGCCAAGTAAATACATGCAAAAATGCTCAATACCATTAGTTACCACGGGAATGCAAGTTAAAAACCACAGTGAGATAGCCCTACACATCTATTAGAAGACTAAAATTTTAAAAGACTGATAATGCCAAGTGTTGGTCGGGTTTTGGAGGAATTGGGACTCTCACATATGGCTGGTGAAATATACTTTGGCAGTTTCTTGAAAAGTTAAACAGACTCCTACCATATGATTCAGCCATTCCACTCCTAAACATTTACCCCAAAGAAATAAAACATATGTCCATAAAAAGATTTGTACATGAATGTTCACAGCAGCATTATCTGTACCAGCCAAAAGCTATAAACAAACCAAATGTCCACCAAGAGATGAGTGAACACACAAACTGTGGTGTATCAACACAAGGGATTACTACCCAGCAATAAAACAATAACAAGAAGTAGAATATACATGAGAGAATAGTGACTAATTTCAAACTAAAAAAGAAGCCAGGCCAAAAATAACCCCACAAACTTGTTTAAGTCCATTTGCATTAAACTCTAGAAAATGCAAACTAACCTATAGTGACAGAAAGAGATCAGTGGTTGTTGGGGAAGAAAGGGGTGTTGACAAAGGGGATGGAGGAAACTTTTTGAGGGTGATGGACACAATAATGATCTTGATTGTAGTGATAACACCATACCATCAAAACTTACCAAATCATACATTTAAATAAGTGCAGTTTATTGTATGTTAATTGTATCTCAATAAAGCTGTTAAAAACATATTTTATTCTTATATTTTCTGAAAATCCTTTCTATCATTGTAACTTCTATATATTTTTTATCATTCTTACCAAGATTGTGGTTTTACTATCAACTACTGTTTTTTATTAATAATCAACTTAGAAATTAAAGTCATCTGTGTCCTATATAAGACAATGCCTGCTAAATGCTTGCTAATTTATATACTTAAGAGTCAGTACAAGATGAAAGAGGAACATAAGATTGTCTTTGAAAAAAACTCTAGCAATAGAGAAATGTATCTCTTCAGCTGCACTTACTACTTTCAGAAGCAGCCACCTGAAATCCTTTTCAGAATGATACAGGGGTTATGTAACAGATTTTAAGCTTTCAAACAGTTGGTATTTTCAGCATTACTTAGTGTTTCACACATGGTAAGGTCTCTGAAATAAACTTCTCTCATGTTATATTCTGTTAGGAAATGAAAGTATGAAGACAAAACCTTATCTTAATTTGTCATCCAGTGGGCTCCTCTAAGTATTGGTTACTTTGATTTTTGCTCCAAGTCTCTTATACCTTATATTGTAAAACTATATTAATCTTGATGGAAAAACTTAAGCAAAACCCCAAGGTACTTGATAATTTTAGATGAGTGTACTTATCTAATGTCTCAGCTGAAAACAAGGGAAAGATCACCTTAAAGAGACAAGGTGACATGCCCACAGGGAAAATGATACACTTTAGTAAAAGGAAGTTGAAAATATGTGAATGTAACCATGTATATAAAAGGCAAAAATGAAAGAAATTACAAAATAATCTATACATCTAGATTTTAAGTACTTAAGTTCCAAAGATTATCATTCAGATTTATACTTCTTTCAGCTGACCTGTAACTTTACACACTTAAAAAAAATCTTTTAAAGGTACTAACAATCAGACAATCAAAGAAGCTTTAAGGTAACATCAACATGTCAAAAATAAAAACAAATGCTGACAGAAGCTGAGAGATTTGTAATCCCTTCATTTCATTAACACTCTCAAACACTATTTTGAATAGTAGATAACCTAAGAGAGAATCCCCCCAGTTTCTGTGCTGAGGAGTTTTTCATTTCCCCACATAAAGTATTCCAAATGACTGTGTGCTCACGTGCACGAGCCCCCCACAGGGACAGAAAAAAATTGGTGGACAAATCCTTCTGAACAAGATGGCAACTTTATTTAAATCTCTCCTCACCTAACTACTATGATTCTGATATCAATTATACTAGGGTCAACAATCAGTTGGTTTGGGACTACTGGCTATTATAAATATGATTATTCTAACAAAATAAGTTACAGCTGGCTAAAAACTATATTTAAAATAATCTCACATGAAAAAAATCTATGATCCAAAAAGGGAATGAAAAGTAATCTGCAGTCTTAATTCTTTGCTTAGACAGTCTAGAAACCTATGCACACAAACTAAACAGGGGAAAGGGACACACAGTGCTCATGCTTCCAAGTAATGCATGCTCCAGTAACACTCGAATTTCCTCAGTGAGTTTCATCAACTCTATGAAATTAATCTCACCCCAATAAATTCAATTAAAAAAAAAGAGTAAATATACCTTGATTTAATCAGTTGATATTTACCATCATTATTCTATATAGATGACATGACAAAAATATTCATGTGTATTACTTACAAAACAGGAATAGATTTAAGTTAGAAAACTGGTCAGAAAACATGGTTAGAAATATAGTTAAACAGGAGCAACTGGAAAATGTAGCAGAAATCAAATGACCATCTTCAATATTTAATACAATTTAATCATAAGACATGAGAATTTAAAAATTGAAAATTTTTTACTTTAGATTGACTTAAACTAGAAGCCAAAGATCTAATCATATTTTTTAGTCTTTTTAAAAGTAAGTTTTATTGAGATATAATTCACATATCATAAAATTTAACAAGTATAATTAAATGAGTTTTAGTATATTCATAGAGTTGTACAAGCATCATTAGAATCAACTTTAGGTCATTTTTATGAGCCATCACTTAAAGTCCCATACACATTAGCAATCACTTTCCGTTTTCCCCAACCCCACCACCACCTGCCCCAAGCCTTAGACAACGACTAATTTACTTTCTGCCTCTATGATTTGCCTCTGAGTATTTCATATAAGTGGACTGTTAGTCTTTTGTAACTGGCTTCTTCCATTTAGCACATTTTCAAGGTTCATCCATGTTACAGCAGGTATCAGTATATTATTCTTATATATAGCTTAAAAATGTTCCACTGCATGGTTATATCACATTTTCATTCATTAGTAGATGAACAATTTGGGTTATTTCCACATTCCGACTGTTATGAATAATGCTGCAATGGACATTCATGTACAAGTTTTTATACGAATGTATGTTTTCATTTCTCCTGAATATATACCAAGGAGTGAAAATGCTAGGTCAAATGGTAACTCATATGTTTAACTTGTTGAGGAATTGCTGAACTGTTTTCCAAAGCAGCTGCATATAAGGGTTCTAATTTCCCCACATCCTTACCAACACTTGTTATTGTATTTCTTTCTGATAGCAGCTAGCCTAGTAGGTGTAAAGTGATAGATAACTCATTGTGGCTTTAACTTATATTTTCCTTCGGCTAATGATGTTGAGGACCTTTTCACATGCTTACTGGCCATTTGTATATCTTCTTTGGACAAATGTCTATTCATTTTTGTCCATTTTCAAGTTGATACTGTTCTATTATCAGTTAGTAAGAGTTCTTTATATAGTTTAGATACAAATCCGTATCAGACATGTAATTGGCAAATGTTTTCTCTCACTTTATAGGTTATCTTTTCACTTTTTGATGGTATCTTTTGAAGCACAGACAAAGGTCAGTTTACACTTTTCTTTTTCACTTCTAACTTTTGTTGTCTTATCTAAGAAGGCTATGCCTGAACCAAGGTCATTAAAATTTACTCTATTTATTCTAAGATCTGTATAGTCTTACCTCTTTAATTCATTTTGAGTTATTTTTTGTATCTGGTGTGCAGTAGGGGTTCAATTTC